CCCCATCAGCGTGGCGAGGAACAAAACCATCCTCACCGGGAAATGGGTCTTCCGCGTTAAAACAAAAGCAGATGGCATAATTGAGAAGTTCAAAGCACGCTGGGTTGTGCGTGGATTCGACCAAGAGCACGGACGGGACTTCACCGAGGCATTCGCCCCGGTTAGCCGACATACCTCACTTCGAATCATCCTCGCGATCGCCGCCATGAAGAAAAAGAAGCTGCGACAAATCGACGTCGCCAACGCATTCCTCTACGGACCTGTTGATGCCGAAATCTTTGTTGAGTTACCACACAGCTCCCACGGAGAACCCAACCAAGTTTGCCAGCTACTCAAGTCACTCTACGGCATCAAGCAGGCCCCGCGTCTGTGGCAACAGCACCTGCACGCTCGCCTCATCCGCATCGGCTTCAAGCAACTACCGCACGATCAAGGCATGTACCGGCTCACTAAAAACGAAGACTACATTCTGCTAATCGTCTACTTGGATGATCTTCTCTACATCGGCTCGACTGATGGCATAACCACCTGGTTTGAAGGGGAGCTGCAGCGAGATCTCACGCCCACAGTCTCATCTACCGTCACTCAGTATCTTGGCCTCAACATCCGCGAAGAAAAGAACGCGATCTACCTCAGCGCCGAAAAATACGCCGACAATATCGCCAACACTTTACGATCACACAAGCAGCCATTTCCACGCAATACCGCTACACGGCAGGGAACGACAAAGGAGGCTCCGCCCTACTCAAACCCGCCGGCATACGAGACTACCAGAAGAAGCTGGGATGTCTACTCTTCGCAACCGTCACCTGTCGTCCCGACCTCTCATATTCCGCAAGCCAGCTCGCTACATACCTCAAAAGGCCTGCAGCAGAGCATCTGGCGGAACTCGATCGCGCTCTCCACTACTTCGTCAGCACTCCGACGGTCGGCCTGACCTACCATAAGAACGCAACTGCATCACCTAAGCTAATCGGTTACGTCGACGCAGATCACGCGGGCGACTCCGACAACAGACGATCCCGCACCGGCTATATCTACCGCTTCGAGCCTATCGGGCCTATCTCCTGGCAATCGAGTTGTCAGAATGTTATTGTTCTCTAGCCTGCAGTGGGGTACTCTATAGCGAGTACAACCCCTTAGGGTTCCCTATATGTATCCTGCTGCTTTCTAGTGAACCTCCTCTCTTTTGCCTAAACTTTCTTGCCTAGCTAGGGTTCTCCTAGCTATGGCGCCTAACTCTCGCTACGATTCTAACATGGTATCAGAGCAGGTCGATCCCCTTGGATCGATCCTGTGGGTGGGTTACCACCTCGCTTCCGCTGCTACTTTTTCCTCCCGCCGTGCGCCCCGAGGCGCGCGGCGGTTTTCTGCCCGCCGTGCGCCCCGAGGCGCGCGGCGGTTCTCTGCCCGCTGTGCGCCCCGAGGCGCGCGGCGGGCTTCTGCCCCGTCGGTCGCCGCGTCGCCTTCTAGAGGCGTCGCGACGGCCGAGGGGGACCCTCGTCGCGGCCCCGCCCTACAGTCGCGGCCCCGCCCTACGTCGCGGCCCCGCCCCGACCGTCACGGCCCCGCCCTACGTCGCGGCCCCGCCCCGATCGTCGCGGCCCTGCCCTACGTCGCGGCCCCGCCCTGTGTCGCGGCCCCGCCCCTCGAAGCGGCCCCGCCCTACTTCGCTGCCCCGCCCCTCGTCGCGGCCCCGCCCCTTGTCGCGGCCCCGCCCTCCCACCAGGCCCGTAGTGGGCCCCTTTCACCACACCGCCTCCCCCCCCCCCCCCCCCCCCCCCCTCCCCCTGCCATTTCCCGTCGCCCGTCGCGGCTCCTTCGGGGGCCGCGCGAGCTGTGGGGTGGCGGGTATGGGGGTGCTCGGTGTGCCTTCCTCCCTTTCCTCCTCCTCCTCCTTTGTCTCCCATTGCTGCAGCTGTCGCTGAGGGGGGTGGTTGTGTGGGAGACTGGGGTTTAGGGTTTAAGGGGGGTGCGTGGGAGTAGAGCTAGCGGTGTAGCAGTGGGTGTGTATCAGGGGGGTGGGACTGTGTGCGGGAGGATGAGCGGAGGTTGCCAGTTTGTCGTCAGCAGCACCTGTAGTCCGGGGCGCTGTCCCGGTAGCCCAGTGAGCTAGACTTCTACACCAGCCGCCTGTGGGTCCGTTGCCCGTCCGCCGCTATTTGAGCCGCGGGGCCTGTTACTCCTGTAGTCCGGGCGCTGTCCGGTAGCCGCTGTGCCAGTCTGCCTCCTGCTGCCTGTGTGTCTGCAGCTTCAGCCGTCGCCTCCTATCTCCTCTCCCCTCACTCTCCCTCCTCCTCCTCACTTGCCCGTTGTGACTACCACTAGCTTTGCTTATAATTGTTAACTCTAAACTATTTCTTCTTGAACTTGTGCTCAGAATGTGTGGTGACATTGTGATCCACCCTGAGCTTGTATTGCTTTGCCTGCTCTGCTGATTACACCCCACTTTGGCTATGGGGGTGTTTCAGAATATTATCTTATTGTTCTAGCCTGTAGTGGGGTGCTCTATAGCGAGTACAACCCTTCTAGGGTTTGCTATTTGTATCCTCATTCTTGCTAGTTCAATCCTCTCTTTTCTTCTTCTAACTTTTGTCATGCTATCAGAGCGGTTACGCTCTTGGCCTGTGGGCCCCACTACTACTTCCGCTGCGCTACTGCTGTCACGCGCCCCTGGCGCGTGGCCCTTACTTCCTGCCGTGCGCCCCGGGCGCGCGGCGTTTTTCATCCCGCCGAGCGCTCGGGGCGTGTGGCCGTTTTCTGCCCGCCCCGAGGCGCGCAGCGGGTTCCTTCCCCGTCGACGGTCGCGTCGCCCCCAGGGAGCCCGTCGCGCCGCCCTGGAGAGCCGCGCGCGACCCCCTGCGGCCCCGATTTCCCGTCGCGCCGCCCTAGGGAGCCGCGCGCGACCGCCGCCCCTTCTTCGCGGCGCCCTGGGGAGCACGCGCGGCCCCCGCCCTGCTCGTAGCGGCGTCCTTGGGTACCGCGCGCGCCCGTCGCCCGTCCGTCGTGGCGCCCCTGCGGCCACACCGCCCCCCCCCTTTTTCCCGTCGCCTGCCGAGGCGACCCTCGGGGGCCGCGTGCGCCGCGTGCGCCGCCACTTCTGACGCCCCCCCCCCCCCCCCGTAACCTCCCTACCCGCCATCCCGCCTTGCCCTCTTTTAGGGTTTGGGGGTGGCGAGTTGGGGGTGGCGGGTGTGTGGTCTCCCCTGCTCCTCCTCCTCCCCTATCTCCCACTGCTGCAGCTGCCGCTGAGGGGGGTGGGTGTGTGGGAGCCGACGGAGTCGTGCTAGGGGGTGAAGGGGGAGTGGAGCTAGGGTGAAGCAGTGGGTCTGTGGGGGGTGTGTGGGACTGTTTCCGGGAGGTTGAGCGGAGACTGCCGTCTTGTCGTCCGCAGCACCTGTAGTCCGGGGCGCTGTCCCGGGGTGTGTCAGAATGTTATTGTTCTCTAGCCTGCAGTGGGGTACTCTATAGCGAGTACAACCCCTTAGGGTTCCCTATATGTATCCTGCTGCTTTCTAGTGAACCTCCTCTCTTTTGCCTAAACTTTCTTGCCTAGCTAGGGTTCTCCTAGCTATGGCGCCTAACTCTCGCTACGATTCTAACACGAGTAAGCAAGAACTAATTGCTCTCTCATCAGCTGAAGCAGAATACATTGCACTCTGCTCAGCCACCAAGGAAGGACTCTACCTTCGCGAACTGCTAGAAGAGGCAAAGTTAGCCGAGTTACCCAACTTCACCCTTTTCTGCGACAACCAATCTGCAATCCGCATCGCCAACAAGAATGGCTTTGCGAACAGGACGAAACACATCGCCCTGCGATATTTTTCGTGAAGGACGAGATCGAGAAGGGAAGACTCGTCCTGTCATACTGTCCCACGTCCGAGATGGCAGCTGACTACCTGACCAAGAAACTCGGAAAGCAGAAGTTCGAATACTGCATGTTGCTGACTGGACAAAGCCACGTCAGCGACACTCCAGAAGCGAAGGGGAGTGTTGGAAACAATCGGTCCTAAAGCGCTTCTACCGTGTCGAAACACCAAGGCACAAGCGAAGCAAATCATATCGAGGCACCAGCGAGTCAACCCTCGGAGGTAGAAGTAACCGCTGGAGGTTACGCGAAGGTCAAAGGTCAGCGACCTTTGACTTGACAAATACAGCGCGACAGCAAGGACACACAACTGACTCAATACTGAGCAGTTGCCCGAGTCGTCACTGTATCGAACCGCAATAGCAACAGCAAAAGCAGTTACAACCGTATCTCTTCGTATTCCTTGTACTCTTATATAAACCTTTGTATTTGCTTGCTTTAATTAACTTACTTTGCCCTCACATACCAGCGCAAGGTGGTTCAGAATCTTCTCTTAAAACGCTTCCGCTATTACATCACTTTACCTAGAGTTTCATCCTATCAAAGATCCTAAGGGGCTCTTTCAGCCCAACAGTATCCAGGTTGCCTTGTGAAGGGGGCGTATAAGCTGTATCGTATCGTGCATTTCGCATAAGTTTCGTCAATTCACAGCTAGCTAAAAAGGATTCGCAGGTGCTTATATAAAGGATCTGTAACCTTATCCGTTGACATTTTTACTTCAGTCTCTTCAGTTTGACTTCGGTCTGTTCGTTACAATTGGTTCATAACCACGCGACGCGCTTGTACCGTGGGTGCAACAGGCTGGGGAAAAAACCTCGGGTGCAGCGTTTCCATCCGGTGCAGAGCAAATTCACGTAGGCATCACTTGTATGTGTGTATCTGAAGGCATACCGGACATGGATCAACAAGCAGCCCACCAAGAATTGGATCAACAAGCAGCCCACCAAGAATAAAGAATGAAGGAATACTGTAGAAAGCCCATTCTGAAACCCGAGACCCATCTGACGAGCACAGCCCACCACGACTACAATACAACCGACACAGGGGAGACTCCTCCCAAATGATTGGGCATTATTGAGCCACGGAGATTTGGCCATTTCGCAAATTCAGAAAAGAATCGGAGCAGCTAATGTCAGGTACAACACCACGAATTGACTTGGGGACAACCAAGCCAGCCTGACCGCGACCATCTGGGGCGATTCGACTGAGTGCGTGGAAGGGGAAGCACCTTGCCGTGAAAGGCGGAGAAGCGGCAGTCCGCAGCGAGCACCGAAGTAGACTCGTAATCCGCCGTCTCCCCATCCAGGAACCCCGCTCCCTCCGCCGCATCCGCCGCGACGAGCCGCCCCAGCGCGTGGGCGAGTGTGTTGTAATCCATGGCACGTTTCCCGCGTCCCTCGCGATACGTCTGCCCCATGATTCCGTGCACCTGATTGGTCGCTTCGACAGCGTCGAATGCCACGTTGATGTGTGTCTCCGCGTCCTCAGCTATTTGCAACAGAGGGTGCGCGACGCGCAGCTTGATCTCCATCTCTAGAAGCCCCGCGATAGTCACATGGTACACGTCCTTAACGAACGCGCTGCCGGATTCAATCCCAAAGAACGTGAACGTGAGGCCTCTGGGGAGAGAGAGCGCCTCGCCTGGCTGGGTCATCCGCGGAATGGCTTCCCTGTCCATTTCCGCCACCGAAAGGAACCCGTCCCCGCGCTCCTGCTGCTTCCCTGCGCACGCCACCACGCGGAACTTGTGCTCTGCCTCCCCCACCGCTGCACGCCACACGAACCCGAGCGCGCGGATCCATGTGCGCACCGCCTTCCCGTTGCGCAGAACCGTCGCGCCGACGGTGCGCGTGTCGTAGTACCCGCGCATCTGCATGTTCACGTGCACGTTGCGGTCTGTCAGCAAGCAGAACGTCTTCTCCGGAGCGCCGTTTAACTCGAATCGCATACCTTGCACGCCCTGGAAATGTGGGTCGTTCTTGGTGTATGGGCAGCTGCCGCCGATGCGCGAGCAGTTGTACTTGATGCGGTAACCGTTGTTGTTGTCCAGCTGCATCTCACACCGTGGCGCCGTGCCGGGCGGGTAGAGCCAACAGATGCCGCACTTGAGGCACTTGCCAGAGGGATTCACGGTTCTGCATGAGATGGAAAAAAAAAGGGAGCAAAAGAAAATTATTGCTTGAGACTGAGAACTCTTACCCGAAAACAAGCGAAGCATCTGAGGAAGATGCGAAGTTACGCGAAGCAGGTGAGGGAAGCAGGTGAGGGAATTTTGCGAAGCGAAACGAAGTAGCTGGGGGGAATTTACGCAAGACCGCTCTGCCAATGTAGTGCTGTGTAAGGAAATTCCCTTTTCCTTACTTCGCATCCCTGCTCAACGCGTACATCACTGTAGCACCTCAGTCAGCACCGTTACCACTCGCGATCATCGCACCGATATTCATCCCGCCATTTTCGCACATCGCATCCCGACCTTACGGCTCGGCTGGTAACCCGCGCTCCGGGCCTACGCTTCGACACTTCCCCAAAACTCAGTCCCAGGCTCGTCGCGCGACTACCACAGACCATTACCGTTACCAGTGTAGTTTCGCTATATATTCTTCGCTCATTGTACTCTTGCTTCGATAGTGCAATTCTCGTTCGTTCACTCAATTGCACTCGTAACACTTGGTATTCAGAGCCTACGATCCCATCTCGTACCGCATCCACACCTTCGCTTCCCCACTATCTCAATTTTTTGGGGGGGGTAGACGTCTCTCAGCGATACAGCGCCGCCGCTCGTAGTGCTCTCACGCAAGCACGCATGGCCACGACCGAGGCTCTCGCTGAGCTTGCCCGACACCCCCGCCATGGCCGATTTCACGCTCGCCACATTGACGCAAGAGCAACTCGATCGTCTCGTGCGTCAACTGGAGGACTCGGCGCTCGAAATCGCGACTCTCACGGCGGAACATGACTCCGCCCGTCAACAGTCTACGATGAACGTACCGACAACACCCCACGCACCAACAAACGCATCTGCACATTCGGATGAGCCGATTGTAATCTCGTCCGGCACACCAACACAACATGACAGCACGGGACAACGCTCAGGCGCAGCCAGTGAGGGCGCCGCCCAGCCGATGCCTGGCATGGGAGGAAACATGATCGCACCAAGCCCACGGGAGCCTCGAGAAGTCCGTCGGCACGTGGAATTTGCGGCGACAAGTGGCGAACACTCCAGCATGGCACCAATGCCGCTCAAGCCGCAACGCCCGCCCTGCTTCGACCCAAGTCAACGCAGCGGTCCGACAGTTCAATCGTGGGTCTTCACGATGAACGTTTTCTTCGACGCCAATTACGTCGAGTCGGACGCCGCAAAGATCCGGTATGCGGTTTCACTACTAAGGGGCCCCGCCATGGACTGGTGGCGAGTCATCGTGACGTCGCCACGCGCCTACGAGCCACCGTCGCACGAGGAAGGGCCCTCGGGCCCAGCTGTCACCTGGAGTTCATTCTGCGAGACCGCCCAATACAGCACGTGGGATGCGTGGTGCGCAGGGCTTCGGGCGCGTTTTGAGCCGATCGTGGCTTCAATTTCGGCGTGTCAGAAACTGCGCACTTGGCGCCAGCTCGGGTCAGTTCAAGACTACACCAGCGGTTTTCTCGCACTTTGCGAGCAAGTCGGCTACATGCACGAAGCGGAGCGGGTGGACCGTTACGTCGGAGGGCTAAAGCCGGACATCTCGCACAAGATAATGCTGTGCGGACTCTCTAACTTCAACGAGATTCTTGCGCTCGCCGAGAAGATCGACATTTTACGCCGACCGAGACCGGGGTCCTATTACGGACATCGTCCTTGGGGACCGACTGAGCACGCCACTGTACACGCCGTCGCAACGAATGCAGCTGCCGCACCGTTTAAGGGGCGCTGCTTTGCTTGCAACAGGCCGGGCCATCGCAAGAGCGAATGCCCAGAGGAGCTGAGACGCCGAGGAGCAGAGCAGGGGAGGGAGTCTCAGAGGCAGGGAAACGCCAGCAGTCAGTAGAAGTTGGGCCAACTACTGACGAGACTGCCTGCTCGCCCAACCACATCGACCCTCACCGAGTCACAGTACCGATTCATACCATCGATCGGGCTCGGATGAATAAGGAGGGTACAGCGACGGATTGCCCGGTACTAATCTACGGGAAAATACAGGGAGCAGCAGTGAAGATTTTTATTGACGGAGGAGCAAGTCACAACTTAGTTAATACCGCAACCGCACGGAAATTACAGTTAACACTTAACCGATGCTTACCGGAGATAGACGCACGCTTAGTCGACGGAACACCACTGGCCATACGGGAAAAGGTGGAACGCTTAAAAGTCCGCTGCGGAGGGAACTTCGGGTTTACACAGGAAATGCTCGCAACGACACTGGATGGGCACGACATTTTATTGGGACGTGATTGGCTGCGACGGTATAACCCACGAATTGACTGGACGACGGGTAGCTGCATAGTGCGAAGTAGCGGTAACTGGGTCGTCCTACCTCGCTGGCAGCCACCCGAGTCTTCGACGGTCCGGGTCAACGCCATCACGATGAAACGGGTTGTCGCTGCTGGAGCTGACGTGTACGCAGTGGATATCGCATTAGTTGAAAAAGAGGAGCAGCCGAGTGATTTTCAGAAACTGTTGGCAGCCGTACCGCCCGAACTAAAGGCATTACTGAAAAGGTTCCCGAGTATCTTCCCGGATGACTTACCGCAAGGGCTGCCACCTCAGCAGGCGCATGACCATAGGATCGAGTTAGAACCGGGGGCACAACCAACTGTACAGCGCCAGTTCCGACTGCCACAGCCAGAGCTCGACGAGCTAAGGAAGCAGTTAGATTACCTGTTAGAGAAGCATTTTATTCGACCGAGCTCGTCACCGTTCGCCGCACCGATACTGTTTACACCAAAAAAAGACAGAGGGTTTCGAATGTGCATCGACTACTGAGCGCTTAACAGGGTAACAGTCAAATCACGATACCCCATCCCCCGCGCCGACGAACTGATCGACCAGCTGCGAACCGCACGAGTATTTTCGAAAATAGACTTACGGGGAGGTTACCATCAAATTCGGGTCGAACCATCGGACTGCGCCAAGACAGCATTTCGGACTAGGTACGGGTCACTCGAGTACACAGTGATGCCTTTCGGGCTGACCAACGCGCCTGCAACGTTTCAGATGACCATGAACGAGGTGTTTAGGCCACTTTTAGACAAATGCGTCATATTTTACCTCGACGACATCCTCGTTTACAGTCGGGACCAGCAGCTGCACTTAGTAGATCTCGAAGCAGTTTTTAAAATTTTAGAGACACATCGGTTATTAACCAAGGGCTCCAAGTGCGAGTTTTTTTGGGTTTAGACTAGAGTTTTTAGGTCACGTCATTTTCGGAGGCTGGGGTTGAGATTGACCCTAGGAAGCTGGATACGGTAAAAGCGTGGCGTCCCCCGACGAACATCACGGAACTGCAGAGTTTTTTAGGGCTTGTTAATTACGCTTGTCGATTCGTCCCTGGCATGGCAAGCTTAACAGCCCAGCTCACTGATTTACTGCGTAAGGGGGTCCCTTTTACGTGGGGGGAGAAAGAGCATGCTGCCTTCTCTGCCCTAAAAAATGTTCTCTGTTCACCACCCGTCCTACGCATCGCTGACCCACACCGCCCCTTCGAAGTTGTTACCGACGCGAGCGACATCACCATCGGAGCTGTACTGTTACAGGACTTCGGCAACGGCCTCCAACCCATCGCTTACGAATCACGCAAGCTCCATCCACCTGAGCGAAATTACCCGATACACGACCGCGAAATGCTTGCGATCGTGCATGCATTCCAAGTGTGGCGCTGCTACTTGACCGGCGCAGACGTGACAGTACGGACAGACCATCGATCCATACAGTACCTTCGCGCACAGCCCCACCTCAACCCACGACAGATTCGGTGGCTCGACTTCCTCGAGTCGAATTTTCACTATACGGTCACATATAAAAAAGGAGCCTCCAATATCGCTGACGCACTGACCCGCCCCACTGCCCAAATCCACGCGATACTACTCACCCAGACCAGCCCATTACTGACAGGACTATTTACCCATGGATATCAAACAGACCCGTTCTTCACAGGAGGAAACTCACAGCAATTCGCAGCAGCCAAGGGAGTCTATTACGTAAAAGCCGGAACCGACCGCATCTGGGTACCAGGGCACACGCTACTACGGGAACTACTGTTACAGGAAGCACACGACGGAGTTACCTCGGGACATTTCGGAGTAGAAAAAACACGGCAGCAACTGCAGCGGTACTACTACTAGCCGGAAATGTTGACCGACGTGCAACGACACGTGGCATCGTGTCCCACTTGCCAGCTCATGAAGTCAAGCAGGAAGCGGCCGGCGGGACAATTGCAACCAATCCCACCCCCAGAGCGTGCTTGGCAGCAGGTGACGATGGACTTCGTCACGGGTTTACCGGCTGGGCCGAGTGGGAATGACGCGATCCTGGTCGTCGTCGATCGACTAACGAAAATGGCGCATTTCGCAGCATGCAGGAAATCAATCACAGCCGAGGAAACAGCCCGACTCTTCATCACCACTGTCGTTCGACTGCACGGGATACCAGCGTCGATCATCAGCGACAGGGACACGAAGTTTACCAGTAATTTCAAGCGGAACCTATGGCAGCAGTTCGGCACGCGACTTCAATTCAGTTCATCCTACCACCCCGAAACCTGACGGACAGACAGAACGGACAAACCAGACCATGGAGGAGCTGATTCGAGCCACGTGCGACGATCCAAACACGTGGGAACAGCAGCTGCCTCTCATCGAGTTTGCGTACAACAACGCGCCATCCGCCACGACCCAACAGTCGCCATTTTACTTGAACTACGGACAGGACCCAACAGTACCCATGACACCGAATCCCGACAATCCCGTTCCACGCGCACAACAGTTCGCCGAGATTCTGCAAGCAGCACGGACCAGGGCAGCAGAAGCAATAAAAAAATCAAATATCATCGCTAAACGCAACGCCGATCGCCACCGCAGACCCGTCACTTATCAGCCCGACGACCTCGTGTTACTCGACACTCAAAACCTCCGCCTGCCCATCACTCCCAAACTCCGCCCTCGATACTGTGGGCCGTTTCGAATTAGCCACATGATCACACCCGTCACTGCGCACCTCCTCCTCCCTGCTGACTAGTACGT